AGCCATGTGTTGAAATGGCAACGTATAGATGCAATCTAGAAAGCTATCAGAGACAACCTGTATTGACATGAAAATTATACTATCTCCTATGATTCATGTTTGAAATAAACTCCTCCTTTGGTTCATTAAGGCTGGCCTCACTTTTCTCTGGAACATTTTTACATAGGCAGCTTCAAAGCTGACCAAACCTCCATTAATACACTTCAGTACTGCTGCAATGCCTTGCAAAAAGTATCCATATTGTTTGAACTCAATCACATTTTGTCATATTACAACCACAAGGTTCAGTGTTTTCAATTTGGATTTTATAGGAGTATAAAATGTAAAATATAAAGGTCATGAATACCTTTGCAAAGCACAGTACTACTTTACTCTTAGTCAGAAAAGATGAGAAAAGAACTGGGAACTGATAAGCTGGTTAGCAGTGGTAAGAAAATTATAATTTATAGTCATGACAGAGAAGTTGAAATTCTTGTCATGGCAAAGCTGATACAAATGCTTGAATTAATACAGAAGGTTATGACTAAGATTTTGAAGAATGGGATTCTCTAAATTTGTTCCACATGCAGGAACCTTAATAAGACTTTTCTTCCTGCTTTCCTGCAGGCTGTACCTGAAATTCCCACAGATAAGAGCAAGAACAAAAAAAAAAGAAAAAAAGAAAAAAGACTGGTGTCTTATCAGGTCCACTGGTGAGATAACTGGAGGTCATTTTTCAGAGACCAAGCTTTCATACTACCGCAGACTATGATATACTTTGCCTTGTGTCCCAATGGCAGGGTTGAAATGTAAACTCTATTGAACTGCTTTACAGTGGAAATGCTGTAATTCCCCCTAGTCTTGGTTAGCTTTTGTGCAGAACTCAAGCTGAAACATTTGTATTTTTAGATGACATTGAATCCTTTGACACAGATGTGAATACATTGTTAAAATTAAATCCTGATTAGTGTGGGCTGTGATTAAAGGACTTCAACCAAGATGTCATTGTATCTTTGAGAAACTGTGTTTTCAATAAACCAAGAGGAATGATTGCTTTGGATAATTATTTCTCTCAAGTGTCCTGGCCTTTGGGATAAAAATTACTGGAAGTCATAAATTTACATGTCACAAAAAAATCCCCACAATTTACTGTAACATAATCTGATACAGATTGATGTTGGGTTTCTAAACACAACTATTTATCTACATGTTCTGTAACTTTGTGGTTCATTAGGATTCTTGCCTTCTTTCTCTTTGTCATGCAATGGTCTAATCTATAGAGTCAGTTTACTTTTGATTTGTTTATTTTCATCCACAAAAGGCATATTGTTAAAAACATAGCCACATCTATAAACATCTTCCCAACACTTTTATAAGGTGAAGTTTAAAAATAATGGTATTTTATTGCCAAAATTAAACTCAGAAGTTACTGTTTATGTCAACTTCCAGTACAAAACTCTCTGTAGTTCTTTGTGTTATAACACCAAATGAGGAAATTGTGGGATGTTTGAAGAAAAACTTGATAATGATATTTGCACTGCTGTGAAAACTATATGAGGTGTATTTGAGAAAGAAAACAAACATTCATAGTTGTTTATGTATAATATGGAAACAGCTAGAACGGAAATGTTTTTTTCCCCCCGAGGTCAGAGAAATAGCGAAGGAGAAAGAAATGTTTGCTCTAGAATTGACTCCACCCAGCTCGACTGAAAGTGCATCTATCCAATAGGAAAATGCTAAAAGTCTTCTGGAAAACAAAATATAACAAGAGAAAAATGACTGGGTTATTTAGGCAAAATAGAAAGAGGTACAGGACATTTGGAAAATAACTGTTAACTGATACTTTTTAGAGACAAGCAATTATTTACGTAAATACTGAGGCTTCACACATATGCATGATTCTCTCGCATTATCTAGACTTTGAGTCAGACTTATGCAACCAGTGGACAGTTTTCATTTAAAATAACTATGTACCTTGAGAGAACTTGTTTAAGGAATAGTTTACTCTATTTTTGTCGTTTTTGTCCCGTGAATAATTTCATTTAAGCAAAAATCAAAACGTGTCCACAGGAGCAATAATCTAAAGATCAGATAAAGGTATTTTTATAAAGCTTTCTTTGCAGGGGAGCTCATACTTTAAGTGCTTTACCCAGATAATTAAGAAAAAACTACATCTTTGAGGCAGTTCTCTAAATTCATAAAACATTGGTTGTTAACCAAACAAATCTATCAGCACATGTAGTTTAGTGATTGCTGCATATTTTACTCGTCACATTTTTGTTCATTATTTTGTAATTTAACATATTATATAATATACAGTTTTGTCTTGTTTTCATACCACTACTTCCCAGAGACTGCAGATGGAAGTTAAGCTACGGTTAAATTAGGCACATGGGAATAAATGCTCATGTTGACTGATGTGTGCTATGTTTTTTAAATTATTACAAAAGAGCTCAGCCAACTCAGAAATAGTTTTGCAGTACACCCTGGTGGTTCCTTCCTGGTGTCCAAAACAGCACAGAGAGCATTTTTGCTTCATTCGTTAACATGAACACAGCTCACTGGGTTCTGCTCCGCTCTTTGAGACATGCCGGTTCTCACCCTTTCAACACTGCCCCATCCCTGTCTGCCTCCCCCGGAGGACGCTCAGTGGCCTCCCACTCTTCCCTCAGGATTCTGGCCAGAAATGGTGCTGAAAGACTGAATGGTCTGCTCTCCCATGTCAGGCTTTTTTTTTCTTCTTCTTTTTTTGTTGTTGTCATGGCTGGAGGTGAAAGCGGCTGCCGTGCGCAGATCCATATTTCGCATCACTGTGAGGCATGTCTTTGTTGATATGCTGGACATCTTTACATGAACCAGAAAATGTGTTATCTGATGAAAGTCTCTGCTAGCTCTGTACTGACCTGCACAAGCGCAAGAAGCCTCAACTCAGGTATAAACATCACCCCTGGGAACGTGCCGGTAAAAGTGTGTTATACTTTATTTTCGTCTTCCGGCTAAAGCAATATTAGCATTTGGCTTCTTAAGTCGATTTCCCAGATGAACTGCTGATTGAAGCCCACATTCTCATATCTTTTCGTAGCATATACAGACTTTTTTAGACATAATATCTTAGCAGGCTGCCGAGGAGTTTTAAAAGGGGGGTTCGTGTCACTAATGAAAGACAAAGATGCAAAAGTTTGACTTTTCAAGCAGATGTTTGCGACTTCTGCACAAGATGGATTTAATTCTCTGAAAACCCTCTTTGTGCAAGGCACTCATCCATCTGTGGTGATCTGTGTTTCAGTACATCTTAATAAAGATACCATCCTCCCTCGTTTTTCCACCCCGAGGAATGCTCTTGTTCTTGCTCCTTTCTCCTTTGTCATATGGGGCAGCCAGACTGTGATTTGTTTAGGTTTAAGCTTTAAGGTTGACTGAGGCCATGACTCATCATTACTCTGAGATGGCTTGTTTTCAATTTGCGTTCAATGAAAGTAAAAAAAAAAAGTTTGAGTCACCAGATATGAGTTAAAACCCTGGTTTATTTGTAAACACTGGTTTATTTCTGCATTTGTGGATAAAAGACTTTTTAATGTTCTATCAGTTCTGGAATGGCAAAAATATATACACTCATAATCCAAATAAATGGAATGTTTCATTCATTATCCAGTGTTTTTTGGTCATTAAGTGTTCATTTATTTTCTTTCTGACATATCACCAGACAGTCCACCGCTGACCATGATAACTGAAGCGGTGGCCAAAGGTTCCAGCTCCTCCCTTTGAAAGGCTGACCCGTTCTTAAAATGTTTAAAGAGCCCGTTGCATCATCAGTTCTCGCCCACACATGCATGTTTGGGTGAATCTTAGGGGAACCTAAGGGGGCGGGTTGCGATGCATCATGTGTTTAAGCAGTGGATGGTTATACAGGGTTAATGACTGGTCCTCTCTGTGGGCTGTACTGGCTCTCAAAGAGAGGATAAGGCTGGCGGTGTGGGGGCATCTGCAGAGCAGGGGTCACATCACTCACATCAAAGCAGGCAGGGAGTCTGGGTCATCGTGTTTGGCCATGGGGCGGTGGAGAGCGCGGAGGGGCGCACAGAGGGATTGGGGGCAGGATCACAGGGAGGATCAGAGATGAAGAGGCAGAGACAGAGAAATAGAAGTGCAAAAACAAAGGAATGGGGAGGATAACATGGAGGGATGGCACAAAATTGAGATATTTTCAAGGTCTATGTAAACATCTTGACTTCACGTGTGACCTTTTGTTCAATTCTTCATGTCTAAAGCCTTCTGTATTCCTAACATGTCTGTACTATTCCAGTGTGATGTTTAAATATATGGAGGACTGTACTATATCATGATGTATTTGTTTTTTCCATTAACAAATTTCACACTGCAAAGTTATGAAGAAATGATTTCCTCTACAGAATCTGGCAAAATAAAAATGTTTTTTTGAAAAGCATGTTAGGGGAGGAAAAAAGTTAATTTCGCTTTGTTTGGGGCAATGACATCACAAGAGGCTTGAGAATTTTAATGGGTGTTGAGGATAGATTTCTGCAGAATTTGAGCTGGTTAAGTGTCGTGAGCTGGAGCCAGTGTTTGACTCCAGTGACCCTTGCATCATGACAGATACTGTCTGGTTTCCATGCATACTTACAATTCTTAAAGCACATGTATGCTTGTCACATTAAATATTCAGTTACAGCTCTTTTGTTAGACCCTAAAAAGTAATCTTACACAATTACCCTCCATTTAGCTCTATCCACCCTTCCATCAACTCTCACCAGCTTTCCTGTCAATGCTGAAGGCAAGCAACCCCAAACAGCTGCCAAAAAGTTACATTTTGGGCTCATGAATCTAGTTGTATAAGCATGTTTAGCTTATTATCCAAATTTGTTGGAAATAACTAATTTGTAGTATAAAACAAGTAAACAGTTTCTTAATTCTTCAATAAAATACTGTGTAGCACTCAGTTGGTTTCCCCTTTCAATAAAACAACTGCGGAAAGTAATAGAGTAAAAAAAAAAATTCCTCCGAAATGCTTTAAACTTTTACATTTATTGCAGGTATTTTGCTATTTACATGCTTATTTACAAAGTTAGATATGTCCTCATTTTTTCAGTCTTGGATACTTCTTGACAGCTGTATAGTAATTTCCTATGTTCTAAATAAGTATGATTAGAAAATCCTGTACAATCATAAAAAGTGAACTATAAAAAAATAAACTGGGCCAATCATTTTAAACCTGGCAAAGCTGGCAGATTTGTGGTGTTACAAAAATAAATACTATTGACAAAAAAATGCTATTAACTACAAACACTTCCCTCAAATGTAAAAAAACAAAACAAACAAACAAACAACAAAAAAAAAACAATTCTTGAACATACTCATCCCAAATATGAAACAGATTTTTGCTCCATGTCAAATTCAGCTTCAACTTCTACTTTTCATCTTTGACTGTATGAAAGTAATTTCCTGATGTTGGAAGTGAAATATTTGAGAAAACACAATTACTTGGTACAACATGGGTATGTATAAACATACAATGTTCAGTCAGAGAATCAGAAATCTTATTGTTATACACACTATGTTGTTGTTGGCCATGACATACAAAAAAGAAAATAAATGCTAATCTAAGTGCATTTGTAGCTACTGACATTTGATTTAAAATATTTCAACAGCATTACGTCCTGAAGTCAAAGCAAATTTTTAATGGAAAGCTCTCAGGAACTAAACTGCCTCTGAACAAGAGCTCATAATATAAAGATTTTTTAAAAAATTTAATATTATTTATCCTTGTGTAATTGAATTTGAATCCAAATTGGATTCTAAAAACCTATTTTTTTATTCTTCATAAAATGAGTTGGGGTACTCCAACTAAAGTGGTATTTCTATAGTGTTTCCAATCATCCTTTTGCAATATGAATGAGATGGGAACGGGTTACAAAGAGTTATGTTTCTTTAACATGCACAATATTTAAATTTTCTTTCTAAATGTTATTATGGAGTCTGCGATTAAAATCCTGGAGTCAATTTGTGATTCCTGGATTCTGCAAAAGCTAGCATCTTTAGGGGCTACTATTCTTTTCATTATGGGCAAAACTTACTTCATGCTACATTTGCAAGTGAGCAGTTGCTATCAATGACAATGATGGAATTAATGTTTTGCTTATTATATTAGGAATCAAGGTGTTTAGCACAATTAGCATCACAAAGAAAGCACTTTTCTTGCATAATCCTAATAAAATTTAAACCCCAAATGATCCCATTTGTTTAAATCCATTCAGCTTTCCTGTTATATACTGAAAATCTTGTTCTTTTCCGTCCTGAAAAAAATTTATTATCGTAGGTTTCTTTAAAATATTTTTAGATCTTTTTGCTTTTTCTGATTTAATCTTTAAACTCCTCACCAATGCAAAATGTTGTGTATCAAGCTTATGCCTTCTTTGTGCACTAGCAGCTTCATTGTGTGCATCATTACAACTCAACATGAGGACCATCTTAGTCAACCTGACTCATAGCTATTTATTATTAAGAGCGGCAATTTGTTATCATACAAACCACCATTCATAAACAAATTATTTCAAACGTGATAAGTCTATATCCTTCATTTATTTAATAAAAATGTATTATTTAAAAGTTTTTTGAAGGGCTAATTCAAAAGTTTTACAGTGGGATTCTGGTGAAAGGTTGGTATAGTATGCATAGAATGCATATCGTTTACATATTTACTGCAAGGGACAGTTTGACACAATCATATAAAAATCATACTCCACTAACGCTGCAATGGCAGTCCTAAGATTGAAGAAGCCAAATGAACCCCAGGAATAAAAGATGGTTGAATATTGGCTTAATTACTGGAGCAAAAAGAAAACTACAAAGAAATCCTAATTTAATCTAATTTCATGCACAAAAAAATAGGTTCCACCTGTAGCTTTTCCTAGAATATGTTTGGGAGAGAATCGGCATGATATTGCCTTGCCTATCAAATCTTGAATGCACTCAGCAGCAATAGGTGTGATAAAGGCCTCTGCGACGATGAACTATTAACACCCCTTGAAGTTTTCTTTATTGCAGAAACAGCTACTGGATATTTCATTGGGATTTTCTGGGTTTGAATAAAAATAAAATTGTGCATAATTGTGGAGTGAACAGGAAAAGATACACGACTTCATTCAAAAATTCAACTTGTATAAATTACATGGACACATGGAAGAAAACGCTTCACATGCCTGTTAGGTTTCAAGCAGTGTTGTGATAAACAATGTCCCAAGATTTAAAAAACTTCTGGAACATTTTTCATTTCATCATCAAGTCTATGGCTCAACTGCAAACTCACAAAGTGAGATCAAATTAAATCAACTGGCCAGACAGGGAGAGAATTAATCAAGGGCTACAGGATAGTTAAAGGGAGTTGACCATCCCTTTAACGGACTCAAGGATAGCTAAAGAGGCCCACAGTTTAGCTTTGAGAATCTGACATGTGGGTTCTTCAAATATGGCCCTTATGGAAGAGTTGCAAGAAAGTCATTGGTGAAAAAACCCCACAAGAAGTCCTGTTGGTATGTTCTTGTTTGCACAAGACATGTAGGGGCTACCTGCATGTCTTACGGAAAAACTCTAGGTGAGATGGAAAATTGATCACGCCAGACATTATCTCAGACGGGGGAACTGTTAGCCTGGAAACTGTTAACCTACAAAAGTTCATCAACGTATCCCATTGTTGATCCTGAAATTAAAGATCACACTACTACAGAAATTAGAACCCTTTAAGTATTCCATGTTTATTTCAAAACATGTCAAATCAAATGATACTACATTTGGCTTTTCTTTTTTAATACAAGAACATGTGATGCCTTCTCCTTGAAGCTCTAATTTAATTGTAATTAAGCGTTTTAAACAATCAGATTCAGTCTGGGTGTGCAAAAAAAAATAGCTCCTAATGATTACACACTCCAAATGTGTCAGATTTATATATGTAAAGCATTTTGAAAACCATGCATCATTTTTATGACACCTTCACAATTATGCACTACTTTCTGTTGGGCTAATTCATAAAATCCCAATAAATTCACTGGAGTGAATTGTGAGAATATTTAAGAGGTATGTATGTTTACAAGATATTGTCTCATAAACCTAATAAAATTGATGAGGTATTTGACTTGAATGTAAATAAATGATTCTATCTATAAGCAAATAAAACCATCTGTCTGATTTAAAGGAAAGAACACACTGACCAAAGAGCCACAACAAAACTGACATTAAGTCCTGTCATTAGTTTTTTTTTTTTTTTTTTTTTACAAGGCAAATATGCTACAAAAATGTCATAGAAACTGTCTGGTTGGGAAAATGTGAGAAAGGACAAACATTCAGGAAATACAACAGCTTTTTGCTATCATTCAAAACAAAATGCTGCAGAAAAAACACCTTTAACCTGGAGCCTCCTGGCCAAGCATCCGAAGCATTTCTGATCTGCTCAGTGTCAGCTTTCTCTGCACTTGAGCAGACTTCATGAGTGTTCTGGTCCAGCCCAATGTTTGTTTGTGTTCATGTTGCTTGTTTATAAGTGCAGATTCTGCTAAAACATCCTACTTGATAAGATACGCACTTATCTCCTGGCAAATCACCCAACAAATATCAACTTCCCTCAGTGAAGAAATATTGTTCCTTTTAAGATTAACTGCAACAAGTCTTTGGAACTATAAATATAACTGACCCAATGTTGCTTTATTTGGTCCATTTTCTTCCTTTTCCCCTTCAATGTTTGCAATTGTTCGATTCTTAGCTGTTCTCACTCCACTCTGGCATGATGCTTACACTATGTACAGAGTGATACTGGTGTGGCGATAGAGTGCGTGGTATGCCGTGTGCATAGAGGTACTCGTTTCCCTGTAAGCCAGCTGTCGGTGACTGGATCCCAGCTCCAGGACTGCACTGGCGGCCCAGAGTCTGATGGGCCATGGAGCTCTGGTACATCGCTGCATGGTGGCCCTCACCCAGCTGTGGAGAGCCGTGTCCCCCCACCCCTCCTAGTCTGGACACCAGAGACCCTGAGGTGAAGTGAGCGGAAAAATGCTGATAGGGGAGCCTCTCCATCGGCTGCATGGTGGTGACAGAACAACTGCCGTAAGGAGAGACGCTGGCCCACGTGTTGCAGCTGATGTCCTCCAAACTGGGAACGGGTTCTGCACCTTGTGTGGAGCTGGCATACATACAGGCCTGCCGCTGGCTGGACTCGCTGCGGTAAGCCCCGCTGGCGAGGCTGAGGCTCTGGTGGTAGCCAACGGGACGATAGTAGTGGTCCTCCTCACTGGAAGAACTTTCCAGGTATGGCTTCTTATAGCCGTGTTCGCCTGAATGACAGTCATCATCAACTGTTGGTAAAATTAAAGAAGCAAACAGCTTTGTTATTCAAGAAGGGCCTTCCACAGAAACAAAATATCTTTCTTCATGTTGAATCATAAACACTGACCTCACCACTGTTCCACGTCTTCTCCATTTATGAATTATGACTCACTGTGGCATACTCAGCCATTGCAAAATGATTTTTTTTTTAACCCTTTGCAGTTTGATGGATGTTATTGTGTTTCTTATATGTCCTTAGTATAGTGGGAGAATGATTACTTTGTGGTTTGGTTTGCAGACAGAACACTTGGTTAATTTGCAGTTATACAATTAACTAAGAGGTTTTTTAGAAAATCAAATGTTAGAAATGACATCTTGAAGTTTGTGACAATATGCAAAAAGTTTATGGAGTATGCACGCTTTTAGGAGGTTTTGAATACTTTTGAATTGACGTAACTTAGGCTGTTTAATTGTCAGGGGTTTTAAAGATAGCTGGAACTGTCACCATTAAATATCTCCTTCATGTATCATGGTGTAGCACAATAGATAAAACCCCTGAATGTTTCAATGTAATCTCTGCATGGCTCATATCACCACACAGTCTCATACCTTTTCTCTTGATGCAGTAATCTTGTCCATGCTCATGTGGAAGTGGGTAGGAGCCAGACTGAGGCAGCAAGTCCTGGGAGGTGCTTGTGACCCCGTTTTCACACTGGGAGTACTGGGAGCTCAGGGTGCTGGGTGTGGCCATGCCCTGGACGTCCCCGCTGAACGGACTGTGGCTGGAGCCGACCCTCTGTCGCACCGTGCTGCGAGGCACAACAGGGTACTCTTTGGTACTGTGTGTGCGCACAGAAAATGTATTAGTAATTCAGACAGTAACTGAAAGGTTCAATCCACTGGGTGATTAGTTTGAAAAGGACACTCTAGAAACACAGAGATGCTTCTGTGGAAAATCATGTATTGTACTAATGCATGGTTTTCATTAGAATAATTCACAGAATTCATTGTTGCATCATTGCGCTGCTTTTTGGTTCTTTGATTTTTGGTGTTGCATCAGTTGAAAAAGTGACTTAGTTTTTCAATAAGCGCTTGCTTTAGAGTAACCAGAAGCAGACGTGCAAAACTTATTGCAGACAAAGGCTAGTGAGCAAATTCACTATCAAAGACTGATAGTGGCTTACATTTTTATCACTTTTTGGATTTGCAGTTATTGCACACCTACTTAAAGTAACTTACGTGCATATTTTCACATGAAAATACAGAGATTTTTGTTTTTTAATTGTCCCAATTTTTTTCTTGCTTATATTGAGCTAAAATCTCTCATTGTGCCGTAATTCAATAAAGCATTCATGGCGACGGATGAAGGATTACAACACCTTCTGGAAAAAGACAAACAGCTTTCCAAGTTTTGTCTGATTTGGGACTTCTCCTCTTGGAAAACCCTTCAGTTTCTCCCCAAAACCAGGGTGATGGGGTTTTTTCAAAACCAGATTTTCCCCTTTGAAAAAGTGTTTCTCTGCACAGCACGGACTCCCTCATCTGGACTGAATAATACAGAGCAAAGTGGCCGCGTACCGCCTTGGCTGCCTGACCGAGCGATATTCACCAGTGCAACACACAAACACACACACCTACACACGCACATAAGCATACGCACAGCAGACACAAAAGCAGTTCAGTTAAAAGAACAAAAAAAAAACTCTCTGTGGAAGAGGGATGTTACAGTTTTGTTTCAGAGGTTCTGCCAGATCAGTCATAAAAGTCTTCACCATGAAAGCTGGCTAATGATCAAGAACTACACTTACATCACTGAAAATAACACTCACTGAAAGTTACACTCATTACTGGCTTGGAAGTCGCTGACTGAAGGATTAAAGAGGGGCTTGTTAAGTGACATTCTGATTCCGGCTGAACTGAAGTGACATTTATCTGCTCATTTGACATCATTCTTCATGTGTAAGAATTTCCAAATATTAAAGATCAAGGATTTTCAAGGGAACTTCTTTTTAAATTGAACAAAATAGCATCCCGGCTGCAGCTACCTTTGCATTCTGGACATCCGGTGTAATTCCATGTCGTCGCTTCCACGAAAGCCTTTTGCAAACGGGTTGTTCTCAATCTTTAGTTGAGTGATCTGAAACCGCAAACAGATTTTGCATTAATAAAAAATAATAATAAAATAAGAATCTCAGGTCTCATGCTTTGCAGTAGATTCCAGACTTCAACTTGAGTTGTAAATTTGCAATTTGGCTTCACTCCTTTAAATTCTCCACCTATTGTCTTGTTACAACCAGAAACTGTCATGTGTGTTATTAGTAATTAACAGCCCACTAATCATTTATAAACTGAGGGGAAGCTTTCACCTTTTAGGATAATGTTCAGAGTTTTCCTCCTGGGAAAAGGCAAAACCAAGTTTATCTCATCGGACCTGATCACCTTCCTGCTACATATCTTGTCCACTGTGTGGCTTGTGGTAAACTTTGAATAGGAGTTCTTCAGAATTTCTCCCAAAAACTTGTTTTCCTAATGCTACTCTCAAAGGCCAGATTTATAAAGTGTACGTCTCGTTGTTGGGCCGCTAGCAGTCCGAACTTTGGCTCTCTACAGAGTTACTGTTTCTCTGGTGCTCTTTTTGCCCAGCTTGCCTGATGGACAGCCATGTCTAGGGAAAGTTTTGCAGTTGTGTTTTTTTGTATTGGGACTTAAATTATTTCAGCACAACTCTGTTCAATAACTCTGTGACGTCTGGGTTGGATTGTCTTTATTTTTGGGTACAATCATAAACCAGATATAATTTTTTTCTTTCACAAATCTGTAGTTGTGATGTGAAAAAAATCTGAAAAGGTTTAAGAGATTTATATTCTTGGTGGATGTTTCTAACTTTTCAGAACCAATCAAAGAGAGAAAAACGGCAGTTCCAGAAAGAAGGTCTGGAGGTCCGATAAGCCTTTAGTTCAATATAGCTGCGTCTCAGCAGGTCATATTTTTATTGCATGACTTATTTCATAATGGTGAACATCGTTTTGAAAAAGCTTTAGAAATCCAAATATTTAAAATACCTTAAGTTCTGGCAGGAATGTATTGCTTGGTAACCAAAAAAAGAGCTTATTTTAAAAATATAAATCAAAGCTCTGCAGGTTTGAAGCAGAATGCAGGGATATCCCTGTCATGGTTTCTTGCAGGTAATGAGTTGGCGGTTCTGGTGTATTTCCATCTTTCTGACAAGACTGGAGGTTTGTATGCATGTTGGCCAACACCTACTCTGAATCTTGTAAAATCCGTCATGTGACACTTTACTAGCTGGTTGTTAATTAATGCAGGCAGACAGGCAGGTGATTTATGTATTCTTTCATGATTTTCAAACTAAAGAGTGAAAAGGTATGCAATTTCCTTTGCTTTCCTCTTGATTAATGCAGATAAACTCACATCCACAACATCATTTAATAAGAAAAATGTTCAATATTTTTGCACAAATTTTAACTCTATGCAGAGGTCTAGAAAAATATCAAATTAGACTCAAGATAATCATACATGGTCAAGTTAAAAACAATGTAGTTTTATAGGCGACATGTCTAAGCTTTGCTTATTAAAACAATCGTTGCTTTATTTCAGATGCTTTTTTTTTTTAGCCAAAAATAATAAAATGTCTGCAACAGTTGCAATAATTTTTTTTGCTATGCATGAACAAAAAACATGACCTAAGAAAACTCAGTTTGGAAAAAAATGTTTTAATTGCAGAAAAGTCTGGAAATTGGACACTGTTTTATTAACTAAAAGTCCAACAGGTGAATTTGAGACGCGCATTCAGAGCTCAATGCTTCTGCAGATGTTTAAATGTTTGATTAGACCGTTGTGGTAAAACGCTTGGAAATCAGAAATGCTTGTTTTTTTTTTTCTCTCTCTCTCTCTCTCTCTCTGCAGGTCTGGAAAGAGCCTCAGTAATTAGCCCTGGGGTTACGATCCCAGCTCTCCCAATAACGTGCTTAAAAATAATGAATGGTTTCTACAGAGAGCTGGTCATTTTGGGCTTCCTGTTCCCAGAGGCGCAGAGGCTTCTGATTGGCTGCAGGGACGCTTATGCGCGTTCCCTCCGTTTCGCCATTATTCTCCAAACAAGAAACATAAATAGGCCCTCATGGCTAAAATGATGCTTACCAGACGCTGTTTACAGATATTTACACCGCCAAGACTTTCTCCTCCCCCCCACCCCCAGAAAATCTGGACAAAATAGATGTGAAGCTTTAGATTCTGGCCTGAAAAGTCTCGAGAAATGAATTTATTTATGCTTAATGTGCCACCATTCAGCCATCATTTCCCAAACAGTTAATATAATGAAAACAATAGATTGTTCTAGTTGTTCTTTAGTTTATAAACACTGAAATAAGTGCACAACTAGAGGTCCATTTACGAATTAAACAGCAGAATTTCAGGAAAACAACCAAGAAAACTAAAAAATGTTTTTGAAGTTGTAATTTTAGAAATAAAATACAAACGAGATATAAAGACCTACAATGCTTTTTTTATTTTCATTTTGTCGGACAACTAATTCGGCTTCACAATTTTACTTATTTTCTTTTATTCTGAAGCAAGTTTTTTTAGACAGAATTGTTAATTTATCTTCTCTTTTCCTCACTAATGTGGAGAAGAAACTTAAAATCTAAAAAAAAAAATGTTTTGGGCTTCAAATGCCAAAAAGGTGTAAAGTAAAAACAAACAAACAAACAAACAAAAACCCCACAAAAACAAAAACAAAAAACCACACACACCCAAAGTATTGAAACAAAATGAAATCAAACAAAATGACAAACTAAATTGAAATGAATGTAATTTTGAATGGCGCATATTAAACCAATAGAAAATAAATATTATATATATGCTATAATAAACTGAAAATAATGACAAACTTCACAGAGCCTATTGAAATCAATAATAATAATAATAATAATAATAATATAATAATAATAATAATAATAATAATAATAATAATAATAATAATAATAAAAGGTTGGCTGCAGGAAAATCTGTCCTGCAATTTTCTAAAAGTTGCTTGAGGTCATTTATCCTCCGATCGGCTTTCTGAAGTTTTTTTCGTCGTCTGTCAGCGACTCGTTGTGATAACTTTCTTTTTCTCTCTGCGCGGCACGTAAAGTCTTTCACTGTCTGGAAACGCACGTTTTTATGATCTCACGCTGATGTGAATCCTGCACACAACTCTGCACTCAGATCTGGGGTTTATTTTAATTTTAATAATATTAAAAACAACAACAATAACTAACACTAAACACGTAAAAAAAAAACATGAAGCAACCACAAAGAGCTGTTCGCCACATGACAAACTGCAAATAAAGGCGACACGAAAATATCCCTCCCCCCCTCAAAAATAAAGGAGCAGCTCTACCTTGTGGTTCTGGTAAGACGTGACCGCAATGAATGCCGTCTCCGGGAAAACGTGAGTGCAGAAGGCCGTGTTTTTGGAGCCGAAGCCGTTATTTTCATCCGCTTTCACGATGTGAATCCTCGGCTGGTACTTGTGCATCGAGTTGAGGATGATCTGGAACAAAGAGAGGGTTTTTGTTTTACATTTTGCGCGACAACGTCTGACTGCAGAACATCAATATCACTAAATGGTAAACAACTCTTGGTAACCTGGCCTCGGCCTTCTGCAAAGAAACACGGATTTAAGTGATGGCTCAGTCAAAATTTTAGTGAAATTAAAAATAGATGAACAATCGATGCTAAAATCAGACTAACTTGGCTAAAATTGCCTAGATTTCTCTGATGTATTAATAGTTAACTTATTATCTATTAGAATTAGAAATTGCACTTTTTTGTCTTGTCTTTAATTTAAAAACGTAACATGTTGCAATAAATGAGTGGATCACAAATTCACAGAATAAAAAAATGTATTTTTTGGGTATAAATTGATTAAAAATGAATAAAATAAATGAAAAGAACTTTATTTAAACATAAAAAGCTTTTGTGGACAAATTGAATTGAATTGATAAGATTTAATACACACAAAACCGTCATCTTCTTTCAATAAGGGCGTAACTATTTAATTTTATTCACACAGAAATTACAAATTAATGAGTCACCTTATCTTTAATAATTGTAGTAATAATAATGTGTCTTTATTGGTCTGGATAGATTATTCTCAAGGACACTATAACAGCATCTTCTCTCTTGTTCTAACCCAGTTAGTGCCCTGAAACGAGTCAATTAGGATGGAGCTCATTTGAACTTGAGCATTGAACTTTTCCTTCAACACACCGTCATTCAGTAGACCCCAAGCTGGACTTCTCTAACTAATCAGCGAGTCATGGCTATGAGTCTAGGAGAAATGCTAATACTTCATAATCTGATCAAATTCCCTCAGATTTAAAAACAAAAACTAGGGCATCCTCCGCCTTTCTCCACTCTTTCTGTATCTGCGACGCTCCCCACCTTCCTGTGACCTGCAGGCATGTCGCCCTATCTCTTATCTTAAGGATTGTTTTTGTACCTGCCTTTCACAGCCAGTATGAGAGGAGACGAGGGCCTGCCCTGGCCTCCAGTAACAGTGGAGGCATCCTGCAGCATTCCACAAAGAAAATCCCCTCTGAGTCAGACGTGAGTCAGCTCAAAGGGGCTTTCACTGTTGATAGGTGTCCATTGCAGAGTCCAATCTGATCTCGCTTCTGGGTGAAACATGCTATTTAGCAGAAAATGGTCAAACTCTGTCAAATGACACCTGGCAAGAACCTGTGAGGGTGATTGCTTTGATCCTTTCAGCTGAAGGAGTAATTAAATCATCTTTACAGCGACAAAAAACTGCACAAGACCTTCTGAGCACATATTAAAACATATTAAGTATTATGAATTTAATGCTTATTTCTTCTCTGATCCATTCAGTCAATGGTAAAAAAAATAAATAAAATATGTCACTCATGTGAAGATATTACATCTCCATTCCTGTGGAAAGAGCTGTGGTGTATTTGTGGACCACCCACTGGGACCCCAGCTCGTCTCACTGCACTGGTTCCTGTATCTTCACCCCCCCTCAGCCTCTGGATGATACTATTTAATGATAGTGAGGGATCACTTTAGGTCTCGTGCGTCTGCCCTTCGCTTTCAAGTACCTCGACATCAGAGAATCCCCCCTCACCCCTTTCCCATCCCCACCCAAGCCTAGGGATCAGTGGACTTTGTGCACCAGCATCTATTGCTCATCACACACTGCCATTCAAACGTAAACAGTGCGGTCCTCACACTCCACCCGACCGGCCCAAACATGTGTGGGAAGGCAGTGAGGCGAGTGCAGGAGATTAATAACACCGAGAAGTATTCTGGGAGCCGAGAGGGAGATCAAAGGGGAAACGAGTCCAGCTTGCATGAAACTTGAGACAAAAAAACGGAAAAAAAAAAAAAAAAAAAGATATTTAGGAATTGAAACACTGAAATAGCAACATAGGAAAATTACTTGTGTGCAGTGAAACTGGAGAGCGGTGGTGTAAAAACTCTAACCCTACAGGGAAAGTGCTACTTCAAACTATGATTACTCCTGAAGAATACTGGTTCCATCAGTACAACGCAGGTAACAGAGCAAGAAAAAGCATTTCTGATAAAATGCCTTTAGGCATTATGCAAAAGAACACTTTCATTATTCAGTGAAGCAGCATTTTGACATTGCAAACCCTGAATGTAAAAACTTCACGTAGATCTCCGTAACATCTTTTATAGGACATTCGTAGTTGTGAAAAATCTCACAGGAATGAACAGTTAGAAATGCAACAAAACATTTTAAGTAACATTTGTGCACTTTTTTTGCATAGCTTTTATATTTTTTAGAATATAATTTTGTGAAAAAAGAGTTGCATGCATTTTTATGACTGAAAACATAATAGAAATAGTATGATGAGATACTGAGACTTTTGTTTTTTAATCTCTAATATTAAAAACGATCTAGAAAAATGAATATACTCATATTTAAAAAAAAAAAAACCAAACAAACTAAAAAACATTTCCATCACTCTAAACATTTAAAGTTTTCTGGAAACAAAGACTTAAACTTGCTGCAGTTCAATTGATTTCTCTTCAAAAACATCATGTTGAGAGCAACAACAATAACTACATTCAAACCATTTAGCATCATCAGACTCAGGCCTTCCTTGTTTCCCAACCAATGAGCTGAGCTCTGATCAGTCCACTGATAGTTATCTAATTTAATCAACATGTCCAGAAAGAGAGGGGAGGGAAACCCCCTCAGCTTTAAGTCTGAACAGGTCTGTCCTGATCTATACATCAGGAATATGCTTTAGCTTCATGTGTCCCCGTAAGTAACTAACATCTCTAAGCTATTTCCACCAGCTGGACCAACAATCTGACAGAGTGTGCGTTTTCTGGCGAGCCACCAGCATTTCAGTGATGGATCCCACAGTGCTGAGAAAGCGGGCGAGTCAGGAACCACTGTGACCAATCAAGAAACACACTTTAACCCCAAAAAATGTACGACACAACTCAATGAGCTCCAGTCTATGTTCTCCAGCTGGGTTTTGGCAGGGCAACAACCTCTATAGATACCACGTGGACAGACCCTGGCTTGTGGAAATATGATTGGTTTTGGTAACTGAAGGACTAAAAACAGTTTCGACTTAAAAACAGGTTTGAATGTTGGAAAACAGTGCCGTTTGTGCGGTCAAATTCTTTTATAGCACGAGAACGTGTTGCTACGTTTCAGTCATTATTTGCATCGGTTAATGTAACATTTAGAGAACAGCAGATGCAATGCAGAGCCTCTCACTTATGATTGGACCTACTTTAGAATTTTAATAAGCTTATTTAGTCTTCCATTCTTCTTTTTAATAGCGGCGATGCATCTTTTTACAGCCGATCTTAGCACAGCCTGTTCCTGACAAAAATGTCCATAATTGAGTGACTACCAACAAGAGAGGTAATTAGGCCTCAGTCTACCCATCAGCTCAACATTTCATGAAAACATGCTGCCAGCTGCACACTTTGTCCATGAAGGAAAAGATGTTATTGTTGCTTTTATTGTAAGGGTAGGAATGAATAAATCTCAAAGCCAGATGCAAGCCATAATGAGAAATTAAAGTTTAGAAAATGAGTACCATGTAGAGAAATTCTGGTTCACTTATTTATTCTTTTTTTTATTTTTCTTGCTCAGAAAGTGGAAAAATATATTTTTAAATCCCTAAATGTAAGAAGTCATTGAATGAACTTGAAAAGGGCAAAAAATATTCTTCATATATTTTTTTTTCTTTGTTTTTACGATTAAATAGCATGTACAACAACTTCATGTTAAAAGATAGATTCATTTTTCTGGAGAACTTGTGTAAACTGTGATCCAAATGGTCTGGTTTAAAAAGATTTTAAAAAATGTATTTTTTGAAGACTAATGTAACTATAAAATTAAAACTTTGTATTTTAGCTCAAATTTACTTAGAAAATAAAATAATAAATATACGTACACCATTCAAATATTTTACTTGTTTGGGGAGTTACAAATGATAATCATAACTTTTGGCTTCATCTAGATTAAAATAAAAAAAATTAGATGCCTTTTACTAAAAGTAAAATCAATTCTTTAAGTGCATTTATATGTAATTACAATCTTTTGGATTCTTTGAAACATAAAAGATCCATAAAGTTGCAGAAAAGGCAAGAGAATGAGAGAATTATAAAATGGCAGCAAAGTATAATTGTGTAATTACATCAAGAAAAATACTTTTCTAAAAACATAGAGAATTTATAGAAGTTTGTTTGGATCAATTTACATCGGTGCGATCTAATGACAAATTTAATCTTCGTTGGTCGATCTATTTTTAAAAAAAATAATTAACCAATAATCAGTCTAATATTATCATATATGTTGAATATATAAAATGAAAGATTATTATTTTTAATTGCAATTGAAAATACAAAACATAATAACAATACATAATAATAATAATAATAATAATAATAATAATAATAATAATAATAATAATAATAATAATAATAGTAATAATAATAGTTGTTATTATTATAATAATTATAATAATAATACATTTATGATCAAATTTTGCACAAAACAATTACAATCTTTTGGATTCCAAAAACCATATTCTTTCAGCAGCAGCAGTGAAAAACTCCGGGTGACAAAACGACAATACATTTGGATCTGAGTGCAACAACACCGCGACGCAAAAGCCCCATCCAAACAGCGCACACGCCTCTGCGCGACTCCGCACACAGCGTCAGCAGAATGATATAGGCCCAGGCACCTACGTGTCCGAACGGGTCCAAGTGGTTGTTGGTCAGCTTCAGCTTCTGGAAGGAGACCAGCTGCCTCATCCAGTGCGCCCCCGTCGCCGGGGAGTCCGGATGGACGTAGAGCCTCCCGGGCATGGCGGGCTCTGCCTTCCCGGTCACGGACCTGACGCACAGGGACAGCAACACATGCGCAACTGGTTAAGCAAGCGTGCAAGCAACGGGCAGCTAATGGACTGGAAAAGGTGATGCACGATTTGCATATTTTACAGACTGCCGTCTGAAGTCAAAACTTTTCATGAATTTAATTTAGGATTTTAAAATAAAGACCTAAAAATGGCAAGTTCAACATTTTTGAACAATTTCCGCAGCTGTGCGCGAATTCGGCTCAGCATTTTGCACTTTTTATTGTTAAACACTGTTAACTTAAATGAAACGGCCCAAGACATTCTGCACTACATGGACATGTGTAACAACTATTTCCACACATTGTTTTGCTGGGCTCATTATCTGCAGTACCGGCATGTGATTATCCTCTCCGAGTCTCCCCTCTTTTAAAGGCATTGACCCAAACAAGGCGCTGCTGCCTTTAAGGTCGGAGATCATCGAGGGTAAAAAACTGAACAGAACTTCTCCAAAGGGCCACTGCAACTGTAGGAAAAGTCATCAGCATGAGCCTATCTCAAAGGAAAAGATAAAAAAAAAATTAAAATCAGCTCCAACTGAAACACGTCAGACATGTTGACTGTAATTCTTGGCAGCCATTAGAAAACAGGCAGGTCATAATTCTGCAGGAAATTATACATTCGCTTCCGATTCTCGTCCATCAGGACAACATAAAAATTTTCTGCTGAAGTCCACTCCAGATAATGGGACATGGGAGGAAAATTGTACTCCCCCCGCTCCCCCCTCCTAAAAGTTTCATTTGCATCCAGTTTATTATTCATTTTTTTTACCCACCATTTATTGTCGGCAAATTTGTATCGATGATCGTCTGCAGGAACCACGTCCATCAGAAGAATGTACTTCGTTTTGGGGTTTAATCCGGTCACCTTAACCTTGAAGCTGGGGAACATCCTCCTGCGAAGAGCAAACATCGACTTTTCCTTTGATTCTGGGTGAAACTGTGTCTCGAATGTGCACAAATAGTTAAGGCGGAAAAATAAATCTCTTTAAGTCAGCTTTGCATGAATTAAGCCGCAAAAGTTTACAATGCAACTTTGAACGGTTAACCTTCTTTATGAGCGCATTTACAATTATGACGCACACAATCTCGCATGGAAGCAGCTGAAATAAATACATGAATGCTTTTATTTAGTTTGGAGAGGAAAGTAGTGGGATTTTTTTTTTTTTTTAGGGATCTGGACGTTGTGTCTGAAAGAAACCATTTCACTGTACATGCATTTATTTAGTCTTTTTTTAGTAAATTATGGGATAGGCTACGTGGGAGCTGCGATGCTGAAAGAGCCGGACATCCTATGAATCATATATTTGCCTTTCTAGACTGAAAACACAAAGCGTTCGAGTTAAAGAAATATAATTGGCATAGTAACGTGAGTGGATACGACTTAAACATAAATTATGCGTTTCTGAAATTATGTAGGTGTGTTTTGACTAACAGACACCTAAATAACATTAAAATAAAGAGAAGGTCAACATAAAGTTAGATATATATTTTTTTACATTGTTCTTGGACTCTGTAATGTATAATATGTTCATAATGAATGTTTACAGAATTCTAGTCCTTTGTATTTAAATAAAAATTAAATTTAGCATAGTAGGAAAAAATAGCCAGTACTCCATGCTGAAATGAAGCAGGTTAGGAGGAATATTTCTCATTGATTATCATCAATGAGGCTAAAAATGCATTTTTCTCGCAATAAATGAACAATACAGCAGGAACGATGTGACGAATTACAGTTAATTTGTTAGTTTATACTGAAATCTGTCAACTATAGATTCATTAACTGCCTGGCTGATCATTTGTCCAGCAGGATGTGACTTTCATAACAAAGATTTTACAACGCAGCTAAATATTTCTATGTGGAATCAAACTGGTTGAACAATTCAATTCTGTTTTTAAGATCACTTTCCTCAAACTAATAACTAGATTACTGAATCCTCCGTGAGGTTTTGACGGCTCTATTTTATATTGAACTTTAGACACAACTAAGGTTCAACTTGAAGTGAATCTTCATAATCAGCTGTTCGTAAATATGATAGTATTTCAAATTTCTTGATTTGTGAATCATTTTCCCATAATTTACATTGGAAACCTGCATCACAGCTGCAGTTATTAGGTGCCCAAAAGCAAATAATGGTTGCAGAGGATGCTCACTACAACAGACCTCTGGTGGGTCCTGGTTAGAAAGTCATACCTAACAATCTCCTTTTATGAGGTCATGCAGTTTGGCCTCTGTTTTCAAAAGAACCCAGAACTATTTGTTTTTGATTGGGCTGTAAAACCTCTGAAACTTTAACATATTAATGTTATTAAAAGGTGGCATGCAGAGCCAGCCCAAGGTATAAGCAAAACCATCAAGAGACTCTCTAAATGCTTGAATTTTAAACTGGATCATAGATCTAAAATTTTAATATTTGTTTATTAAGAATGTGAATACCATTAAATTTGATTTGACGGTTTCAAGTTAGATCTATTAAATGACTTTAAATAGCTTAAAACCTTAAATTTATTATTTGAAAGAATTGTCAAGTTTCTTTGTGAAAGTACAAATACTCTTCATTGTTTTTTTGACAAAGCCACAATCTAGTGATACCAGTTTAATCTTTTCTTTGTGTTGGAGCTCAGTTTGCTCACAAATCAGGAATTATTAAGCAACGAAAAAACAACAATCTCTGACTGTTTTTAAGCTCAGCCAGTGAAAGTCTGTCCTCTCTCTGATTCTATCCATCCTGTATTAAAACACTGTTTGTTGGTGATGGTCTGAACAGGAATTGGGCCCACAAATGAAATTCTGCTCAAGGCCCTGTATAGTGTTAGGCCAGCCCTGGTGGAATGTAAGCATTTTCTCAACATGCACCTTGGAGTTGAATAGCTCAGATTACATGTTGGATGCAAATTGAAATTGGATTTAAACTAACTAAAACTCTTCTATTGATGTGCTTTGTAAAGCTTTATCCCTGTTAACCGATACCTACAAGGTGCCGGCCTTTGGGAACTGCTTCCTCAGGATTAAACAGCTGAGCCTTATGGCAAGTTTGACGTTAGCATTAACATGGTCGCTCATGCTAAAGCTCGATTTCAACTTCTTAAGTCTTGTTTTATAAGGTGACATGGACAACTTTGTCTCCTGAAAACCATCCTTAAGATGCACCACAAATCCCTCAAAGTAAACAGCTGGGCTTGTTTACTAATTTGACTTTAGCACTAAAGTAAACCATTTAAAGCTGGATGTAAACACAAATTCTTGCACCCAAAACTACAAATCACATGTAGCTTTTAGGCTTTACTAAAATATTATTTATAAGAAATATGGAAGTAGTATTTTTTTCTGCTGGACAGTGAAAGAGGAAAGATTCGCCATCTTTAAAAATAACATGAAAAGTTATATTTTAATCTATCTGTTTTAATTTTAATCTGTTTAAGTTATGATTTGGTAAGTAGCTTGAATAGCGTGGATTTAAAAACGATTGAACACTACATTTACATTTTAATCCTCATCTTCATTTTCCTAATGCAATATTTTTCACTGCATAGTTTAGCTTTGTATTTTATTCTAGTGTTGACTTTTCTTTTGCTCGTTTGTTTACAGTGATAAATCATCCTTAAACAACAGCTTACCATTCATGTAAATATGGAATGACAACGAGGCAAACTGGTTGACCAAATCTTCATTTTCATTTTTGATATTTAAAATCTATTTATTAGACAGAATGTTTCACAAACTACTTGATAAAAAGTGCAACACTATGAAGGCTGAAATGAAATACAGTCCAAAATTATTTTCATAGCACAACAAGTCAAGAACAAAGCTGTGCATCAGGAGGACTTTCTTTTTAACAAAAGCAAACGTCAAAATGACAGAAGGGGATGTATGAAGGATCTCTTTTTCTGCAGCTCTGATGGGAAAACGGTGATGTGCCTTGGATGTGGTGTAAAGCAGCTACAATGAATTATTTATTTTTATCATTTACAGAACACGTGTGAGCCGTATGCCGCAGGGGGGGACACCAGTGGTCGGTATTCATATATGAATGTTCACACCACGCCTTGCGAGCTGTTTTGACTCGGATGCACTCCGGGCTTGACAGCAGTACACACATGAGTGTGTACCACCCCCCTCCTTCATGTCATGCTGCAGCTCAAGAGCCGAGACACAGAAAAGTGTCTGCATGCAATTACGGCAGAGCGGGGGAAAAAACAGCATAACTTCCTTAAAACAGATCTTTATTCAAAAGGAAAAGAAAAAAAAACGAAACAAAAACATTTTGCATCAGAGTTCAGTTTCTAAAGGATCAGTGTCTGGTGGTTTTGCATTTCACAAAACAAAAAGGCCACCCAAGGTAAAAGTGTATGACTATAGAGTGTTTTTTGCGAAACACTGACGCGTCAGCCAGATGTGCAGTTTTCCCTTTTTTGTCTGTTTTAAAAAAAATTATTTCTCATGACTGAAAGTACGATTTAAACACCTCAAAACTGTATCAAATGACAGAAAAGCAGAACAAAACTAGAGTTGTGAGAGCTTTCAAAGAGATGATCTTACCGTCCAGCTTTGGTTATGATCATCTCCGTGCCCACCTCGTGAAACTTGATCCACAGTTCCCTTTCGTGCAGGTAGACCTTTATGCCTTCCATTCCCTTTAAAAAAATATATACAATTGTGCATGTAAGCATACTCTATTGTTAAATCCCACTTTCCGCACCAAAAGAGACACAAGATGACCAAACATCGTGAAAAAACGGTCGAATGTTGGCAACAAATAAGTAAACATGAATAGTTGGGATGTGCGTGTCTGAACGTGGATCAACCAAGCCTGACTTTCAGCACTTTTGTTCAGGTTTAATTTGATGGAGAATGTGTGAGATGAAAACTTCTAACAATACAATTTATTTTAGGCTTCATTAAAAAAAAAAAAAAAGTCTCATGTTGGCGGTATCACTTCTGGCACATTATGCGCGCCATCCATGCGCATTTAAAGCTTAATGTGCTGGCAAAGGATTTACTTGGGAAATCCTTGTCTGACAGGAGACTACTGACACGGAAAAAGAAAAGTGTTTTATTGGCAGGCTTTGGACACAAGACGTCTAAAGTCAGTTTGTTTTGAAAATAGAATTTGTCAGCTGCAGAAGAGAAAAGTAAATCCACCAGAGAGACAGACAGGCTCTCCAAATGATTCTTCATGCGTCTTTTTTCGAAAGACCTACTTTTAGTAAAACAATGTCATTTTTATCGAATAGATTTCCGGTGAAATTTGATCAAGTCAAACAGCCTTACAACCACAGTTAGGCCTAAAAAACACAGTTACCTTTAATTTTTGAAACATTTTGAAAGGGGCTATTAGGGCGCACATAATAATTCACAAATATGACAATCTTGCATGCCAATCAATTGAAAATAAAATAATTTCTGCATTTTAAAAAAATAATATTATCTATACACATCAGGTTTCATCAATAAATAGGATTTCAGTTTTTACCTCTTCATGTCTATAATCTTCACTATGTCACATAATAAAGCAGGTGAATTTTATTGAGAATTTATTGTTAACAAACAAAACAAAACAAAACAAAAACAAAAACAAGAAAAGAAAACATCGGCAACAATTGCCCACAAGTCCCGCATTTTAATTTGACTGTAAAGTCAGTGCGAAACTATCAGACAGTAGGGCATCAACACTACTGTAAACTCAAAATCGTAATCCTGCAAGAAATGATTGCAAACCTTGCTACAGCTGCTTAGATTATTTGGATTCACGGTGTGAACAGAACCGATCAGAATGCGGCCCTTTTAGTTTGAAAGAAAAACTAAAATCTGTTTCTACAATGAGACGCTGCCACAAAAGAACTGCTAAAGGAACGACGTTCACAATGGAGCTACTTTTATAAACTTGTATGATCTGCATTTCAAATGTCGAATGACAACAAAGTGCAACAGATTATTTTTCAGTGACTGCTAAAAGCTCGTGTTTTTACTTATTCAGTTTGAAAAATAAAACAAGAAAAAAAAACCCAGTGAATCAAAGGTTCCCCTGATTGCATTGCTGAAAAAAATAAAGAAAACACGATAAATCCCTCGATCACTTTGAGTAACAGCTCGATAGCAACCAATGAGATCAACGTTGGATTAATTAACCGAATATCAGGCGTCAATCTTTAAAAACCCAAGTGTGAAGGATCTGATCAATAAGACCGAGGCCAAAATACAAAGGCTAAACAAATAAAACACACAAACAGAGACGTGCACTGACCTGCTGGATGTAAGTTGTCTGCGATGATGGGGATTTCCCCGAAGTCCCGGTCTGTTTCTCGGGTTTATTGTCGTTCTGTAATTCCCTTGAATCCGAACCTCCCGGAGAGTTCTGCACGGCAAACGTCTCCTCCTGGTCCGCCATGACCGGAGCCCCGAAAAACTACACGGACCCAGCTGGAAGACCGATGGGAGACATGTGAGAGCGGAAGGACGCAGAGTGTTTCTCAGAAGTTAACAGATGTAAATAGACGCGTAACTGAATGTTAAAACAATTATTGTTAATTTTTATTTTTTATTGTTTTGCTTTTGTACAGGATAAAAAGAGAGCCTTTGGTTTTAAGCATAACAGAAACACACTTGATTTAAATAACAGGATTACCACTGAATGGCCTAGTCGGTGAAAAATGCTACATTTTATTTTGAAGAGTATGATGTACATTATTCATATTGTCACCCCAAAATCAATGCACATAATTGATCGATTTACTTGTTTTCCAGCCGGCAGCATGATGCAAAAATGAAAAACATGGGTTGCTTGATAGCTATACCTCTGCAGAGAACTATAAGCTTGTATGCAACTAAGATGACAAAGCTGGCTGCCCAGTCCGATCAGACCACAGTCTGCTTACCTAAAAGCAAAAAAAAAAAAAAAAAAAAAAAAAAAAAAAAAGAAAAGAAAAAGGTACACGCTTTGGTCTGCAACCTGGGCAGACAGCTCTAAAAACGTCCAAATGCTCCAGTCAGACAGTCCGGGCGCTTTGCGCGACGAGTCTCCCCATGAACGCTCCCTTTTTTCGGTGATATGTTTCCAAATTTCATCCAAGCGGAGCCTTGACTGACCGAAGAGGACCAAACTACGAGACGCCGCTCACAGCCATGTAGAGGATTTTGCAGCCCCGTCCCGCTTTTGTGAGCTGAGCCCGCCGATAGCACCGAGCGCCGAGCTGCAGCCGAATCCCAGTGGAGCAGGTCCGACACCTCCTTCTTCTCCCTTCCTCTCTCCTCTCGCTCTCCTTTCTGCGCGGTCGCTCTGAAACTCTCCACTGCGCATCAGAGACCAAACGTTGTGAAGCGGAAATCTAGTCCGAGACGTGCAAGCAGCACTGAAGGGAGGAGGAGGAGAAGGAGGGGTATATGGAAGAGGAAGGAGGCGATGTTCACTGAGCAGGAGTAGCTTTAGCTTCTATGACCAAAACTAACAATTCCTTCTCGTTTTTCAGCCCATGTCTTATTATTTTTTCAAGCTAATCCTCCAATTTATATTGAGAGATCATGCGTCGTTTTGGTCAACAATCCTCACCAAATCTCCAAATGCAGCTTACCAGCACAGTCAGTCTAAATTTGCGAGTGCAACGATGAACATGAGGTTAATTTCAAGGAGTTGGATTTTGTATCAATTAATGTATAAATATTAGGGTTATTTATGCAATTAAAAAAAGGCACAAAAATGACTCATTTTCTACAGTCTGGGAATAAAAGCGAGGCGCAGTGAAGTGCAATTACTCACCCATGAAAGTAAAAAAAAAAAGTTAGATGTATCTTCATGGGGGTCTGAGTTACACATGGGCTGCCATGTTCAACTGTAATTTACTCACAACTAGGAGAAATGTTCCTTCCAAGAAATAACTTAAAATATAGAAAAATAAGCCAACTAGAGTGAACAGCAGCGTAGGAACTGGGTCAACTAACCTGACATGAAGCAGAACTTTAGGTTAGTGTGGTGAGCCACTGAAGTTGTATTTGTTTTGCACTGCGGATCCCTCTGAGAGCCACAGGTTTAAGATTCCACTGAATACCTTCCTGTGCTTTCTAAAAAATAAAAAAAAATTAAAATCTGATTATTCTTTTTAAACGACTGACTCCCGCAGATGAACTGTTTTGATGTATATAATTCAACTTGAAACGGTTGTCACCGTGTTTCTCAATACTTTTGCTCAATTGTTTGTTTTCGAAGAGCAGTCATCCTGTCAGGAACAGTAATAACCCGTCACATCTGGTGGAGAATTTTGATATTCTGAAAAGTATAAATGAAAAAAAAAAAGTTTTAGAAACATTAAATGCATTAAATGGAGAATATTTATGTAGGCCTACTTGTAAAGATTAGTTCAGAGAATGTAAATTTTAATCAGTCTATTTAAAAGAATAAATGTTTTTGGCTGACAAGATTTTCTCTGACTTTTAGACACACGCACAACAAAAACCCAAACACACGTTTAAGAGCTCGAAAATGTGTAGAACAGCATAATGTCCAGCAACCTCAACCCATAGACACGTCAATAATACGCTCATCAATTGAAGAAATTGTGCGTCATTACGCACTGTACCTGTGCGTAATAGTTTGAAAGCTGGACGAATTTACTGGATTCATGAAAGAAGAAAAGAAAAAAAATTAGCAAAGAGACAAACAAGTATCTAATCGTCACAAATTAATATGTGCATCAATTATTTAAAGAATGGAACTGAGAGGTCACATCTGGAAAAAAGTCAGATGAGGTTTAAGCAAGAAACGGCCCTCTAGTTTTGAACTAAATTGATAATTTATCTACGTTATCAGGTGTTCTGATATTGTATCCTTTAAATGATAGCTTTGTATCTGCAATAACTAAATAAGCAAATAAATAACGAAATTCATAATGGAGATGCAGTAGTACGTTGTGGTCAGGAATATAATCAGTTCTCCATGTAGCTGTTTGGTGCTTTAAAAGCTCAAATCACATAAAAAAGATAACAGTGTGAGGGAAAAAGAGTAGCAAGAAGAAGAACATATTTACAGAGAAGAGTTTTAAAAAATATTTTTATATATCCACAAACACCAAACAGTAAAATCAAGACAAACAACCACAAAACATATTAAAAGATGTAATGCGATGCTGACAGGCAGAAGTGAGCGTTGCGCTTTTTTATTGAGAAACAAACAGGAACACACACTCACACACACACGCACACACGCATACACACACACGCACACCCGCACGCACACACATCCATGCACACCACAAATAAAACAAATTGAAATGAATACACGTGCTTGCATTGCAAGTCATCAACTCAAGCATCACAGCGTCTCACTGTGACGCGCATCCCTCCAAACTGGGAACTATTTGTTTTTATTGGTTGAGCGTAAAAAGCAAAATTTTATTGACATTTTGAACTGAGCATTTCATCTCATAATCTGGGGAGAATAAAGTCAATTTCACTGCAATGGGTTTTGGGAGACAAAAGTAATAAAGGAAATTAAAAAAAATTAGCCAAATAAAGATTTTTAAAAACATAAAACGGACACATTTTCTAAATGGTTTGTCTTTTACTTTACGCCAGAGAAGAAAATCATATTGTACAATGTGCCTGAGACAGTTGGTTGAGCAGCATTATCTGCATCATTGGTGCTTGTTCCGCTGCGTTTTTGTGCAAATGTACAAACCTGCTGTGTTTAAAAATAGACATGTCTTTAAAATTCTGCTGACCACGCGCAATATGAACTCCGCTTAAAAAAAAAAAAATCTGAGTTTTCAAGAAGAAAAACCAAACAGCAACGACAAACACTAGCATGCAAGAGCAATGCATGAGACCTAAATGCCAGGTTGTATTGTTCTGCTGCTGACACGTCTAATCCACGCATCCAGGATCATTCCAAACACCTTTCCTACCTCCTGGATTGAGTGTATGATCTGATGCTTCCTTTGGAAGTGTGGATCTGAGCTGACCGGCAGGTGAAGCGGGCCGGTGCGGCTAACCACCGCAGCGCAGCCAGAACCTCTGAATGAGGAGGAGGCTGCATCCTCAGACCAAATCGTGAGACTTGTCGAGGAAGGAAAAAAAAAAAAGAAAAGCTGCAGTCGCAGTTTGGCTCTCAGGAGCTGCGCCAGGAGGTGAGGGGAGAAGGACATCAAATGTTGCATTGGGGATGTTTGGAGTGGGTAACAAATTTGATTTGAAGCGTACTTTGTCATGATATAACTCAAATGATGGCGCTCTAATATAAACGTTTAGGATATATTTAAAAGCATAAGCAACAAAAGTTTGCAATGTATGTTTACGTAAAAGTTTTATGTCGGGATATTTTCCAGCTAAAACGCTAGAGTCAAATTATGTGAGAAATATGAATTATAGAAGTCAATTTTAACATACCGCAACTGGACAGTGTCTTTCTTTGATGCAAACAACTCACTGGGAAATATTTGAACGAAGCAGAATTTAACCCATGACTTTATCAGCAGGAAAAACATGAGCGCCCGATGCGCAAAGGTTTGCGCAAAAGCAAATGAACAACACAAATAGCTGTTTTTATATATAAAGCTGCAGAGTGGTGCTGTTTTTACTGGTTTTGGTGATCGTTTAGGTTAGGCGCAAAGCCAGCTTCCAAAATCCGCTTCTCCTAAAATCCTCCTTCTGTTTCTTTTTTTTTTTTCTTTCACTGTCTTGGTTTGTTGAAGCTCTTGCTAATCCACCCTGGTTTCACCCTCCATGGCCACACATGGGCCTGTGGTCTGACACCCGCCTCTTCTCCTTTTGGCCGTCTCATTATCCTCCTGGCTCCCTCCTCCATCCCCACTCCAGACCTCGTGAATGAGTTTACCCTTGTTTCACTAGTGGCCACCACGATAACATATCTGGGCCTTCCATGGCGACCCAATTAGACGACGAGGGGGTATCTGTGTTGCGTGGAAATGCGTGCGCACCAGCGCGCATATTCGCCTCAAGAGCTCCCACTTTTGCTGAGGAGGCCCGGAGGCTGAGAGCAGAGGTGACGGCGGGATGGTGGCGGTGAGCTTGGGGGCTGACACATTTCTGCTAACAATCACATCACACACAGGGAGCCACATTCCGACTTCCTGGTCCCGCTATGCCTCCCTCCCATCCGCAGGACCTGTCTCAGACTGCACTGATGTCAGAGAAATTTTTTTTGTTGTTGACAAAAATAAATAAATAAACATAGGCTAACACGCGTGGCATGCTTTATTAAGCTCGAGCATAATGTTCCAATGTTTACAATTGCTGTTCATAATTTAATCCATAATTAGAAGAAGTGTTGATGAAGGGGCGACCGAAACTCGTCTTGCACATCTGGATGTGGTTCACTTTGACATGTCGGCAGATAAATGAGGCGTGAACGTCACTTGGCTGCCATGTCGTGTCGTCTGCTGCCCTCTAGTGTCGATTTGAATAACTCGCAATAAACGTGTCGCAAAATTCATATCGAATCAACACGAATATGTAAATAAATAAATACATTTCAGCAAAAAATGTTAATCACATTTAAAGTGTGACTTTGTGTCTCAAGGAAAGAGTTATTTTTCCTTTGAAGGATAAAAATACATTTGTTGTAAAAAGGTATCCAGTTTATTTTGCTTATAAGTTTCCAATTCACAAAAAGGATTATCTGAACATATTTTTTAAGCCATTTGGTTCCAACTGATACCTAATAACACAGAATAGATTTTGTTTCAAATCAGATTAAATCCAGTCCAGTCAGTACTCACTTTCTGATCCAATTAAACAAGTGCATTAATAAGTTTCAATCAAAACATCAGCAGACGTCACAGATAAAAGAAAAAAATAAGTCAAAAATGCAATAAACATGAAAACAAACTCAGTAAAACATTATAAATCTTTGCGACTGAGTACAATGAAACTACTGATTATATTTTCAGATGTTTGAACTCGAACAGAAATAAAAATATAAATAAATATAGAGCATCAAAATAACAAAATTACAACAACACTAAAAATGTATTTTGTTTCGAATGAGAAAGATAGATTAAAAACTATCCACACTGTAATGCATCATTTAATAAAATTACAGAAAATATGAAATGTCGATTATGACATACTTTCAAAGTATTATTATTGTTTTTGCCTCATTCTTACAGATATCTTGTTTCATAACTTTTTCCATGTTGAAATTTGAGTGGTTTTAAATGAAGAAATACACAGAATAAAAAAACAATAATAATAAAAAAAAAAGAGGAAATTATGTGAATGAGACCAATATCTTACCAACATACACACAGCGTTCGGATTTGTCTGTCCTGCTAAATCTGATGACATTT